TAATCAGTAATAATCAATAATAATTAGTCAGATTAGTCAGATCAATAACAACAAGAATCCTCCTCAGAGAGTCTGACTGATACCAGACCAGGACTCTGGAGGGTTGGATGGTGAACTAACAGGTGGAGCAGGTGAGTCCAGGTGTGCCCTGAAGGACCGGCCTGGCAGGTACCGCCCCCGTCAGACCGGTCTGACGTCAGGGACCAGGTTCAGGGTATAAAGGTCTGAGGACGTGGATCAGAGCGTCACTGCCTGGCGGACTCTGAGGATCCTCTCTGGTCCAGTGGTTCTCGACACTTCAACAGAAGTGAATCAGTTTGTGAAATGTTTAGGACCACTGGGTCCGAGCAGGAGGACTCATCTGGACAACACCCAGACCTCCTTCAGGAAGAGGACTCACCTGGACAACACCTGGACCTTCTTCAGGAAGACGAGGTGGGCCGATACACTCCAGATCTTCAGTCTGTTGGTATGAAATCAGTCTTGCTGTTGTTGTTGTTGCTTGTTTGTGGGCAGCTTTGTGTCGATGTCCTCCAGCTGAAGGAGGAATCAAGGGCACTTTTTCACAGCAGCCACTGACATTAAATCGTCAGATAAACTCAGTATTAATGACTCTGATGATAATAGACTGATCCCTAAACGAACTCTACTGAACTATAATGTAAATAAATATATATATAATATATAATAAATAAAAAGGCTTCGACGTGTCCCAGCAGGAAACTGACAGGTGTATTAATGATGGCTGCATTCCATTTCGGGGAGGTTCTCTGCCGTCCTTCATCACATTCAGTCCTCTGTGTTTATTGATCTGTTTGTTCTGTCTGATTATGTATGAGTGGATGTATTTGTCCCTGTGCACCCTGGGCTGTCTCTGTGCTGCTGTAATATGCTGTAATGTGAATGTTCTGATAATAAAGTATTTCATAATCAATAAAACATTATTATTAACCCACCTGGTTGCAGCCTTTATAAGATGTTCAGTCCAAGATGGCTGCTGTCTCTCCCTCCTCATTACTGATACAGTACAGTCTGTTTGTTTCTGTGGACCCGCCTCCAGTACTGTACCGAGGTTCAGAGGTTACATTAGAGGAGAATCTCAGCCTTTACATAAGAGACTAATAAAGACTAATAAACCTAATTTTAACAGAAATACAGCGTTCATCAACTGTACTTAAAATAACATAAAACACCCAAAAGAAACAAAGGAAGAAATAATAAATACATTTTGAGAATATATAATAATTTTTCTTCACACTGTAAAAACTGAAATTTTTCTTTTTCTATTTTTATTGCTGTTTTCACTGATAAAAACTGACAGTATACCAATGCTTATACTCTGACAAACAACATGAATTCAATGTTTCTGTTGTGAAAACTTTATTATATTTTATTATATTATATATTATTTATTATACAAGTTATTTGTCATTAACAAACACATCCATGTAAAATTACACAAGAAATAATTGATGTATTATTATTATTATTAAATGTAAAAAGATTTATTTTTTACAGTGTATTCTGAAATATAAAAATATAAATAAAGAAATGAAGGAAATAAATGAGACAGATTTTTATGCTGAGCTGAGCACAGCAGCGGTGTTCAGGAGGTTCTTGACTGAAAATATCGGAAGGAATAAAGCTTTAAAACCCATCAATGATAATAATTAAGGCTCTGTTCCATTTAGTGTATAAGAGCCTTTCCAGTGAGCCAGCATGCACAATGACAAGAGAAGCTGGTGGTGAAGACAACAACTCCCATGATCCCTTGCTGCTTCACCAACATGTGACTTCATTATTGTTCAGTTCCTCTTTCAGTTTTAACCAACACTGAGAATCAGTCAGAAACTGTTGATGTTCACACATTCAGTCCCTTCAGATGGGGTCTGACCTCTCGGGACCCTGTTCACTGATCCGCCACCGTGTGCAGCCACAGAGGGAAGTAATGAAGTACAAATACTTCCTCACTCTACTTCAGTAGTTTCTTCAGGTATCTGTACTTTACTTCCTCCCATAGCCCTCACACTGACACAGGCTCCTCCTTACTAACAC